GGCATTCAAAATCTACCAGACCGTTGTTGATAAGAATGATTATTTGAAGAAATCAATATTAGAAAAACATAGACCGTTGAAGCTAGAGAGTGAAAAAGTGTGGACTGACCTGCTTAAGCACTTGGACTAGATTGTGCTTCTTTGCGTTCAGCACTTGCAGTTTCTCCTCAATCTCTTTCCTCCTTTTTCCTGTTTCATTTAGTACATCAGTTGCTGCCTTTACCTGTTTAAATGAGAGAGAAACAATGCCAGATCTGAGCATGAGGAAGCTAGAAGATAAGGGTACCATGGATTTGGTTATTAAAACTGGTTACGGAACTAAGTTCTGACACAACCCGACTATAGCAAAGTGTTTCTACATCAACCTCTCCTTAATCCCAAATTTATTTGGAATCGGCCGTATGAATTCTTCGTTTCCACTACAAAGTGTTTCTAAAGTAAAAAAAAAATATATGATTAACTAAACAAGGAAAAGAACTATAACCCGACCCGAGTTTGTCACGAATCCTTCCATAAGCTATTTCATTACCATATTCCAACTAAATAAGGGAAAAAAGGAGAGATGAAAAGAGAGAAACTTATTCCATTATAAGGATAAAAGAACATCCATGTCACAATCTGGAGCATCACACATTCTAATTCCTAAACCTTTATGTGCAGAATTAAAGTCTAATGGAAATATAATGTATAACACAACTGATCGGGAGAAAAAGTAAATCAATTAGTTGCATGTCTATTCCGACATCATGCCAAGGATTGTCCAAAGAAGCCAAGCAACTAAAACCTCACTCTTACAGTCCCCCAAGAGAACATCCGGAAAAACAATTGTGATCGAGGTACTGTTCTTGCCATATCACACAAAGTTTAACGCCCTCATAAAAAGGACAGCACAGTGCACAAAGCATCCCGTTGAGCGGGGATCCGGGGAAGGATCCCACCACAAGGGAGTATTGTAGGCAAACCTTATCTTGTAGAAATATTCTGCAAGAGGTTGCTTCCAGGACTCGAACCCATGACCTCTAAGTCATAACGGTAACACCTTAACCCGTGCGTCAAGACTCCCTTCAAAATAAAAGGGTGTAACATGAGGACTTCCCAAGAGATGCCTCATCCTAATATTACTCTTGTCCAAACACACTTAACTGTGGAGTTCTGATGAGATCCGATGTATTAGTGTTGGTATGATCGCACTCATAAAACACAGTCAAATTCATAATTCTGACTTCACCTACACAATGAGCTTCCTACGACTCCATGGCACTGGTCTGCCTCCTGATATAACTTGAACTTACAGGATGTGACTAAAGCAAGCACTAGGCTAATAATTTTCACGTAGAGTTACCAACTATGTCAATTCACCCTATGTTTCCCCATAACCCACCAGCATTCTTCAATCAGCACTCGGTAGCATAAATCAAGTTTCAAATCAGGCAATTAATATCCAGAATAAACCGAACATTCTCGATCAGCTAAATAGTCAAACGCTAAATTCATGGAAATTTTCTCAAAACAGTTGGTTAAATCACCGAAATTCACCATACCTCAGCCTTCTCGTTCGCTGCATCGACCGGTTTCTCAACAACAGAGGAATTCCCCTCCTCACGCACCACATCCTCAGCTTCTTCCTTCACCTGTACTTCCGTATCCTTCCCGTAACAAGCCCCACCGTCCGACCCTCCTGCCCCAACTCCTCCAACTTCATCACGCTTGTCGCCATCTTCCTTAACCCGATTCACATCAATCTCTTTCCCGTCGACAGTTTCCGGATTCTCTGTCTCCTTTTCGGTGACCGAATCGGACTTAGGGTTAAGATTAGGGTCAGATTCAGGGAAGAGACGAATTAGAGCTCGTTTACGGAGGTGGAGGAGAGATCTGAATTCCTTGATGGAAAGTTTACGCTCCGGCATTCGCCAGCGGCGAGGCACGTCGGAGACTTTGTGAAGGTTGCCTCTGTACATCGATATCGCCACCATCTTTTCTTCGCCGTTCTTCGTCTTCGTTTTTCCGTTTTGCTCCTGCTATGTGTATAAAACGAAATCTCTGAAGCTGGATAAAAAAAAAAGGCATTAAACGTCATGATGTTTATATTAGAGAATAACGTAACGTGCGTCGTTTTGAAAGCTCATAAACGGTGGGGTTTCTGTGCCATTCATGTCAAACGACAAACAATCAAATCTTACTGGGTCTAGATTGGGCTGGGCTGGGCTGGGCTGTTGCAACAAGATCACAGATGGTGAGATATATATATTCTCGATGGATTCACATGTATTACTGATATGATAATTGTCATATAAAGGAACATACTAAATATATTGAATTTCTACAAATAAAAAAAATCTACCATCCGATTATTTCAAACCTAATATCCAATTTAATATTTATATTTCAATTATAAATAATTTTCGTAAAACGAAAATATTATGAACCAAATCCTGCACAACGATGAATCAATCCATCAATAGTATAGTATTGTACATGTATGTATAAATATGTGTATATGTATGTGTGTATACGTATTATGCATATATATGCATGTTTATATATATATGCAAATACACATATACATATACATATTTATGCATACGTACACATAGATACATGCTTATATTATACATAGAGTCCCATATACATGCTCATACACAAATATATACAGATTGAACTCTTTTCCCGCCAGATAACCCGTCCCTGTCTCCCTCCGACGAATATCGATGAAGACGATTCCAGAGACGTTGATATAATTAATCTTCATATATATATATATATTGAAATCGATATGAGACTGTACTTAAAGTCCATGAATTTATTCCGTTTTTGTTCATCTGAGCAAATCCCACTGATCAACCAAGATTCTCCTCTTTCTGGTTCCTGGGAATTTTCTTCCATGGTTGCTTCTGTGTTTGCTTCAGAGAAAATGGGAGAGAGACCCAAGATTCCTCCCATTTCGGGTTCATTATCTGAAAAAGACTTCCATTTCAGATACCTAATCACAGATTTGAACATCATCAATGCCCAGATTCCATTTATATATATATATACCTATATATAATAAAGCTCTAGCACCCCACGAAGAACTCAGACAAAGAAAATAAAAAAAAGAAACATGTCACATTTGCCTAAATCCTACATGCCGTGGCACGCAACCGAATCTTACTTGATGTTCGGTCGGAGATTCACCTCGCCGGCGGCGAGAACGAAGACCATTCTCGACGAGTGGCGAGTGGCGGAGGTGGAACACGACGAGGCCAGGACCCTGTACGAACAGACGGAGTGTACGGACAGAACCGCCATGGAAGCGCTGAGGGAAGGAACAGCGTCAAAGAGGAGACAGGTGGATGAGGTCGCGGAACGCATGAAATCGATGGAGTCGTTCGCCATCCACAACGACAGGCATCTGTGGCTTTTTTTCAGGTTCCGTCAAGACTCCCTTCAAAATAAAAGGGTGTAACATGAGGACTTCCCAAGAGATGCCTCATCCTAATATTACTCTTGTCCAAACACACTTAACTGTGGAGTTCTGATGAGATCCGATGTATTAGTGTTGGTATGATCGCACTCATAAAACACAGTCAAATTCATAATTCTGACTTCACCTACACAATGAGCTTCCTACGACTCCATGGCACTGGTCTGCCTCCTGATATAACTTGAACTTACAGGATGTGACTAAAGCAAGCACTAGGCTAATAACAGAGCCCACGTGGACATTGCGGCGGAGCTCGGCGACGATGGCGACACGGAGGCGCTTCAGTTTCTGTCCGGCGAGTACTTCAGGACGGAGATGCCGTACGACCCAGATGCTGATTTTGACGATGGCTGCGTTTGCTTCGTCCAAGTCCCTCTCATTAACTGGTTAGATAGATGCATTCACCTTTTCCACAACTAGAATAGGTTTAATGGGATTGTTTTGTTGGTGATTCAAATGATTTGTTTGTGGGTGTTGCAGGGCATACTACGACACCGAAGATGATTATTGACATGCAGACGTGGGATTTTGTGACCATAATTACTGATGCGTAACATCTGAGAGTGCCATTGTGGGGTTTGTAGACTAAAAGATGTTAGTGTTTGATAAAATTACTACACCAAATAAATATGAATATTCCGAAATCAAGCAGAAAACTCCAAATGGATATGAAAGCACAAAATACATTTTATTTTTGCGTTCAAAATTTACTTTAATTTGTTTCTAACCATTTTGTGATTCCATAAGATCCATAGACTATTATTCCTTGCAAGGACATCATAATCTTTACAAATGGATATCTTCAATGGTGTGTGACCACATATTTTTTTGAAAATTCTTTTTAGCACATGCATTTGAAGTTTACGCTTCCAACAAAACATTTGGAAAAAAAAAAAAAAAACCTTATCGACTCCTACAACAATATGATTCAAACTTGTCCAAATTTCAAGGTATTAGGAATCAAGAGCACCAAGAGCTTTCATGTCCTCCAAGAAGGCCATGTAAGAGTCATCAATGCTCTGCTGCGGCTTCGACGACACAGCAGCTTTCGCTTTGCCAGACTCAGACTTCACCATTGCATGAGCCATAGGCTTTGGAGCTGAAACCAAACCGCCCACCATTGATGTCTTCGGCTTTGGTTTTGGAGCTGCTGATTCCCTCCTCACCCGAACTGATGCAGGAACCTGGAAAAAAAAACCCCACCCACTCACAATTCGCATAAACAGAACGAGAAAAAGGGCAATGGGGAATATAGTTTTAGACTCACCATGGATGTGAGTTCGGGAGTGTGTTGAGCGAGTGGCCTCTTGACAACAGTGGGAGCAGCGGATTTCACATATGATGGCTTCTGTGGCACAGTTGGTCGGCTCATGGCTTGGCCATCTTCGTGAAAGCTAGGTGGAGGTCCAGGTGGAAGTGGGGGTCTCATCATCGGCGGCAGGCCAGGTGGTGGACCGTATGGTGGCGGCCTTGGAACTAGAGAAGCCATCATTCCAGGAGGAGGTGGCGGTAATTGACCCGGAAGTCCAGGAGCAGATAGTGGACGCATATCGAGAGGAGGTGGTGGCGGTGGAAAACGGTGTATTCCAGGAGGAGGTGCATCGGGCTGCAAGCTAGGCAGTAAAGCAGATCCAACAACTGGTAGGTGCGGTGGGATCATCTTAGGGATATCATAAACATCTTGAAGATTATTGGCATTAGATTCTCCTGGACCGTCCTCTTGTTCGTTGCTTAGAGAATTTGGAGGCAGCCCGGGTGGGGGAGGAAGTACAGAAGTCACAGTAGTCATCTGCTGCACAATGGAGATGAATAATATGCCTCTTGTTATATAATTTTCACAACCAGTCACTCATCTAATATAACTACATACAGATTTGATACCGGGCCATATGAGAAATTGAGATCCATGATTTTAAACATAATAACAATAATAGGTTTACCTTTTGATCTAATGATGATGCAGAGATACTTCTGCCGTTCTCACTTCCGCTGAGGCCAGGTGGAGGTGGCTGGGCAGATGGAGGAGGTGGAGGAAGGTGAGGAGGAATTGTGACATGCTCTTTGGGTGGTGGGCCAGGGGGTGGGGGTGGAAAAGGCGGAGGTGGTAAAGTAATACCCGTACTTGGAGCAGGAGGCGTTGGCGGCAATGGAGGTGGCTGTGGGAGTGGCAAAGAGGCGAGTAAAGCATTTCCATCATTGGAGCCAGGAACACTGCCATCTGGTAAAGGAGGCGGCGGCGGTGGGGGTGGAGGAGGTGGAGCAGCTAAGGCAATATCTTCTGACTCGGGATTCGAAGATGATGCAGCACCACTCGATGAAGTACCATCCAGTGGAATTCTCGCTCCTGCAAGGCACAGACGTCATTTAGGTAAAATGAAGTTGGAAAAAAGAGAAACTAGTAAAAAAAGGAAAAGGTACCTATTGATGATTTATACATGGGTGGCTTCCCAGGGGGTGGTGCACCAGTTGGGTTCAATGTAGGGTGATAATAAACAGAGTCCTGTCATCATAAGCAGCCAAATGAAGAAAAAATCAAACTAGGCAAAGATGAAGAGAAACATAGAAGTCGATGATATACTTCAGGTTTTAGGTGCTTTGATCTTTCTTCTTCTTCCGCTGGTGTCATCCGTTGAGGGGGAAGATGACTGCATCAAACACAACAGTGTGTCATAGTAACATGAAGCCAATGACATTCTTATCTTAATAGCTCATTCATTAAATTTGACAAAAAGGGTAACAGTTTCTATGGTTATTCACCTGAACATAACAGAGGTCGAGGGCTCTCCCTGCTCCTTCAGTTTCTCCTCATATTCCTAGCCAAATAAAAAAGATAAGAGAATGGAATGACAACAAATGTCATAAGCAAAATTGAAAGTAAATGACATGGTATGGTACCTTCCTCTTCTTCATGACCATATTTAATGTATCTTCAAGTTGCCTCTTTTTATGTTTTCTTGCTTTGTCCAATGCGCCTTCAGCCTCTACACCAATCCAATAACACCTCCATTATTTTCCAGAGAGATGAACTGTCCACCTAATCTCTCAGGGTCCAAAGATGCACTAGAAAAACTGAATGTTGTGGGTAATTGTGAAAAGCCAACGAGATTCCACAAGGTCTGAATGCTTAGATGTTTTACTCCATCACATAGTAGGTACCGAACATGAATGACGAGAACTATCTTAGAACAATACAAGACGAAATCATTACGTAGACAACAAAACTATGATTCACAAAGATATGATCTAGAGTCCTAGACAGGTCAAATCAGAATCAATTGCAAGAAACAAATCAATACATCACACACTCAGCGACAGAAGCAGCATACTCTCAAGAGTTTGGAGCACCAAGACTTTCAAAGTTCCCATGGTTCCACAGCGCAAAAGACAAGACAATGGAAATGGAATCGGATAAAGTCGAGCGTGGCTTACTTGACATTTCTAGTTTCCTGATCTGCTCTCTGATTTGCTCAGGATCCTTCTTCAAAAGCCCCACTTCTCTCACCTTCTTCCTCTCTTTCTTGTTCTGTTTAAGCACAAGTGAATGGTGAGAAAGCAGAGAACTTCATTACAAAATTCTACATTCGGCAATCACGAAATGGTTCAACAATTTACACGTAAACGAACACTGAAATCTTAGTTCCTGCAAAGCTGATTCGATTCACCCAATGACAAACAACAAGCAAATCGCCCGTTGGAGTTTCCATCTTATCCTCTCTAAGACCTAAGCTACAAGAGGAACTTCTCCGGGGAAAAACACAGTGAATAGGATAAGATTGACAGACAGGCTTAGAGCCCTTCCATGAACATGTAAACCAGGTTCTAGAATCAAACAAACTAGAGCAAAGGGCAACAACCGGAATTCCAAATTCGATTAATCGAAATAAAAAGAAGACGAAAAAACGAAACGAGAAGAAAACCCCAATTCGCCGAAGTTTCTTACGCGTTTCAATTCCTTCTTCCGGATCTCCTTGCGGTAAGCGTCGGTAGGGTTCATCACCTTGCCTCCCTTCGTCGTCTTCATCTTCGCTATCTTCCTTCCCCCCACTCAGAACAGATATTATCCAGGTGAAGTTTTGAAGGTTAGAGGGTTTCTTCTCTCCACTAGATTCCTTCTCCGTCGAAAGAAGATGCTCGATCCCTCTTCCTCCTCTCTCTCAGGCTCCGAGGACGGAGTCCCTCTATTCGCAGACTGGCCCGAGATTTAAATGGGCCCATGTCTTAAATGGGCCTAATAGGCCCATTAGGTCTAATAGGGCTAAATGCCCCCCTCCCTTAAACAGTTATATCATCCATTACACAGAGGCAGTTATTTTGGGTTTCGATTCCATTTATATTGTAGTTATTTTAATTTATTTCGGTTTGTATGAATAAAAAATTTATTTAATTTTTGTCGACTAATTTTTAATTTGATTCAATTCGAATTCGGTTAAAAATTATAATTATTCAATTTTTATATCGATTATTATAACTATTCGATTCAAATAAATTAAATTATTTGGTAATCAATCAAATCGGTCACTAGAAACGAAAACACAGAGAAGAGTTTGAAGTTGACCTAATAAACCACTCAAGTCTATATAATATATTATATGCTTTTTCCCATGTGGAGACAAAAAAATTCATCTTTTAAACAAAAAACAAGACTCAAGTACAAAGTCTTTAACTACACTTACACTAACGGCAAGCTGTATGTTCTATAAAGTAAAAAAAAATGGCTCTTTTCCTCCTCGATATATAAAAAAAAACCCTGTTCATGTTACATTTCACTTTGTTTACCTCCTCAAGGTTTTAGGGCTTACCTTGTTATTGGCCAAAAAAAAAAAAAAAAAAAAAAAAAAAGATACACCTAAAAAAAAGAACAAAAGGGTGTATAAATTTGTATGGACAGAGATCCTAAATGTACCCAAAAAAAAAAAAACAGGAGCTCTTCCACTTTCCTACTTTTTGTCCAGACAAAACTTCCTCCTCTTTCTTTCCAGGAAGGACATCAGTTTCTCATGGCCACCAAAAAAAAAAATGCTTATGTTATGTATAAGATCACAATAATCACGCTTCCTTCCTTTGTTCTCAGGGTTTCTGTTCCTTTGTATATATATATATAGATATAAAAAAAGGTACTTACTTGCTTTGCGGTTTGTACTTGGAGACTTCACCATTACAGCTTGTAAGAGATGTGTGTAATGAAGTGAGTGCTATCTGAATGTGTGACCAATCTGGACAACTTTGTTTACAGTTTCTCATAGAAAAGAACCTGTGGTTGCAAGTGCCCTCTCTCACACATGGAAAGTACATCTCCCCAGTTACCAATCACCTGTCCAGATTACGAGAGAGATGTAACCATATGTAGAGGTGTATGCATGATCTATAGTGATTCATGAAAAAAGGGTTCAGTGGTTTACCTTGACGGTTTTGTCGTCGTACATGACCCACCTATCATGGGCATGACTATATGCAAAACAATGATAATGCTGTCCATAATAGCATACCTAATGTTGCAACAGTAGAAAAGAAGATGTGAGTCCATTAACTAATTTTGGAAAAAGACCAGAACTTGACAAATGCTTGTAGTGATGATATAAATTCACCATATTCTTGAAGAATAAGAACACAAACTAATTAACAATATTTTCAGACAATTCCCCCAATCCGTATTCAGGTGAAGTTAAACAAGAACAAGACTGCAAAAGCTAACTTCAGGTTCGGTTACAACACTCTACCAACCCTTTGAAAATTATTGCCCACAACGAAAATATTAATCATAGTGTTGGTCATAATTAGATGGCTAGACCACCGAATTCATATTAAGCAGAAATGGTTTCAGAAAGAAGAGAGCAAATACGCACCACTGAAACCAAGCTGTAGGTATTCTTAGGGTCTAAACCACGGTACATGACACTGATGTCTATCTCAGTATCCACGGCGGCCAGAGTAGCTGCTATGTCTTCTGCAGTCTCGCAAGTGTTTTGCCAGCCCATAACTGCAAATCTCCAACAAAATTATATTAAAGGTAATTGTCGATAAGCTGAAAAGTTAGCATTCTTCAGAAGAGTATGAAGCATACCCATGGTAAAAACACGTGGTGGTACTGAGAGAATGTGGTGAATATAGTTGGGCTTTCCACACCCACCAGCTTCAGGATCGCAGGTTAGTTGATGGTTCATCTCAACAAAATTTAGAAGTTCCTCAAACGAGCTTTCTCCACACATAACCTGTTGGGAAGAGATAATCATGTTAAGGGTTTAAGCATTCTGTTTTTCTGAGGTGATTACTTGAAAAGTAGAAGTTTGCAAACATTAGTATGCCGAAATATTACCTTCATGGAGCGTAGGGCGCTTGCATTGATGTTATGGAAAAAGGAAGTGTACTTCATATGCCTGGACTCCAGCCCACAGCTGAAGCAATTCATTTGCTCGAAAATGTCCATTCCAAAAAGTGAATGGGCAATACATGTACGGTTCGTGCAGTCCCATGAACCCATGGAGTTGCTTTCAGAAGATTCCGTGTCTGAAACACTTGAGACTGAAGTAAATGCACGATGAAGGCAGTCAAAGATTACAGCAAGTACTTCTGATGCATCGTTCATCTGAGCCTGTCACAAAATTAAGGCTTATTTATGGTTCCTCAACAAGGATGGTAACAAAGGTAAAAGTTTAAAACCACAGAAATGCCTTTACCTCTTGGAAGAAACTGCTATCTGGATATAGGTTGCTTAAAGCTATCCTCAGTGATGTGGGGGCGACAGGTTGTTTTCGTGTTTCAGTCGAAGCGGCACCAAAAGCGGTGAAAATTTCATACAATGAGCAGACAACACAAGGATCTCCCACATGATGATGCTCTAGTGTTGATCTCCATAAGAATTCATCTCGAAACTGTCTCAGATGCCATAAAGACTGAGATAGAGCAAAGAAATCAGGATTCTGGAATGAGAATCGCACAAAGGTGCTGATATATAGATGTTGAATACCAGGAAATATGAACCACTGTATCCATGAATTTACCTGTATGACAACATTCAGAAAGCAATTGTACTCCCCGACTTCATTCTGTAGACCTGTACCAAACACGTCACTGTGTGTGGACTCCGTAGTCCCTCCCACAATCACATCATGTTGAAGCCCGTTATTATTTGATTCCAGAGCTGTACTCTCAGGTGTCCTCACGCCTGATGGCGTCTTTCTTTGTGCCTGGTAAGTATCTGGGTTGAAATAAAAGGTTCTGTAGTCAGATCCTAACATAGCAGGGGCTATCTTTTATCCGAAATCAATGAGAGAAGAGATTAAAAAAGACCAGCTCTCAGAATAACAAAACACACCAAAACTTGTTAGATATATATACTAAAATGCCCATGGGCAAGTAAGAAGATTGCTGAATTCGATAAACAAAGGTGTTCGTAAGTTGGCAAGATGTTGTACACAACGTACACGTCCCTCGTATGAATTTGGTAGGGTTAAAGTCCTAAGCAAACTCGGGAATTAACTACTGACAAAAGGGTACTGATAAACAATTGCAAAAGTCAACTATGAGACTTGATGGATAATCAGAGATGGTCAGAAAATTACCAAGGCTTTGGCGCACTGCCTTTTTAAGGTCGGCCTGGAACCTTTCCTCTTCATCTTCATCGGTTTGTAATTGTCTCAACGTCTTTGTTCCAACATCTAAATCGCCAGGATAAACTATTTCATGTAAGATGAAAGATAATAACAGATGCTTTTACATTCTAATACAGAGAATAGGACCTACATCCATATCAATAGCAACAACATAAACTTCGTTTTTCCTACGTGACAGAAAATTTGAAGAACAAAATCACCAATCCTAGTTGAAGAGGCAGCCTTGTGAGCTGAGTTTGAGCCAGTTATGCTTTAACACGATAGAAAGAGGTAAGTTTACTGATCATTCTCATCAACATGGAATTATTCGAAAGACTGTATACCACAACTACATTACACAGACCCCTCAAAACACTGCTACTCCAAACTTACTTGTCAAAGAATTCAGACAGTGCCATCAATCATATAAAAAACCAGTCATGAAATAAATTCTATTGTACTTTGGTGGATGAAATCTTTATAGCTAAGTCACCAGCTCTAAAAAGAATTGAGAAGCTTTCTAAAATTTCTAACTGCAGAGTAGTTCCATACAATTAAAGCAGTTCAGTAGTGCCTTCATTGGCCATTTGCCAAACATACCTTATACCAAAGTTCGAAATTAGCAGCTGACAGAAACAGTATGGTAAGGGGAAACAAGTCAAATCATCTCCTCTATCAATATTGCCCACATACAAAGCATATGACAAACAAAAATAAGAGAAGACACAAGAGTTAGAAAACAAAAGCACAAAGACTTACCACCATTGCAGAGTAGATTTTCTGACTGTCTCTTATGCCCCGCGGTGTCGGGTTTCCAAGATTCATTAGTTACCTTCTCATGAGGTGTGACCTGATATTTTTCATCAACCAACATATGAGAAACTTTTTGGCGTCTACCCCTCCTTCCTGTTCGTTGATCAGATTGCAAAACATCAGCCTGAGTAGCTACTCTGTTAGCCATCACTGCAACAAGGAAAAAACAACTGTCTAAAAGAGCTCAATAAATCTCTATCTCATAGTACCAAGATCAGTGCTAACCTTTTTGGGATTTTTCATGATGCACTTTTCCAGCATCATAAATTACAGATGAGTTCATTGGCTGCAGAATGCCATTTGTATTCACTGTGGGGCCTTCCAAGTTGTTAAGTAACCCGTTCTTCTGAATCCAATTCTCCTGGAAAAGTAACCGAAAAAATCCTCAGTGGTATTTCCAAACTCGATATCACAACCCATCATTCCAAAGACACAACATAACACCTTATTTACCTGACTAATGGAGTTTTCTTGTTCTAGTACAACTAAATCATCAGAGACAGCATCCCTGGAAACATCATGGGCTACATCAGCATCCTTCAATGTAACTGAAGAGTTGTATTTCTTCTGTTGTTCTGCAAGGTGCTTCTGTTTAGCTTCATTCTCTATTCGTCTCTGATACTCTAGAGTTTCTTCAAGCTTTCTCTCTTCTTCTTCAAGTTCAATTTTGCGTCTGTATTCCTCTTCCTGTTCTTGTAAAGAATCAACAGCTCTGGAGACACCTTCGGCCTCTGAATGATCATCATAGGATGCAACTGGAGAAGATCTGCCACAAGAAGTCACCCAGAACATTAATTAACTGATTATTCATCGTCAGCATTTCAAAGAAACGATTTCCAGAATAAACTCCATCCAGCGCTATATAGTTTGTAAAGAAAAGATTTGCACCTGTGTTCAACTGAATCATGGTTGAAGCGATGCTCACTGCCAACAGTAGCCTATAACAAAAAGAAAATATTTACATCTACATATGATTGTAAACATGAAATAGCTACAAAGTATATACCAAAAATACTTCAAATTAAAACCTTTGAATCCTTAGCTTTCCTGCTATCTTTATTCTTTTTCTTATCCTTTGACTTTTCCTGTACATGTCTTGAATTATCATTCTTGCCTCTGACATCCTTCTTAGAATCAAGAGCAAGTTCAACAAGAAATGCTTCTCTTGCGGCATCAGACTTCTCAGTGGCGTCTTTCTCAGACAATGCTTCCAAATGTGCCTGGAAAGAAAGATCAAAATGCAAACACCTTTTCAGAATCAACATTGACAGAAGGGGAGAGGAGTTCAAGTTCAGATGAATTAGATACTTACCCGCATGTAGGATTTCACCAAAGGCAACAACACTGTCTGATAGTCATTGGAGGAAACAGGTCCAAGCTTCAGCTCCAATTGTTGCATCCCGGTCACATTATGCATCATCCGTGCATCAATTGTGCTAAGCTGCAATAACAGACAAACAAAACAACATTTTAGGAGATAGACAGTTATTAAATTTCTCCGTTAGATAGCATAAAACAAAACAAGGTTACCTCAGCAGACAACTGCTCTTTCTGTTTCTGAATTGCGATTTCTATGAGAGTATCAACCTGATTCAATGAATCCTTCATCCTCCACTGGTCAGCTTCACCAGATTCCAGATCACATAGTTGAGAACTAACACTGCCATATGACTCTTCGAATCCAAACTGATTGGCATTCAGAGATTCTGCCTCTTTCAAAACATTTGTCAAAGCATCCAGCTCAAACCTATTACTTAAGAACACCAAGTCATGGTCACTTTCAATCAGATCTTCTCTCCGTTTTCTTAGCACAGATTCATAGCTATCATAGTTAAATTCTTCTGAAGCCTCCCTCCTCCGGCCTTCTTCAAGACATAGATCCTCAACGGCCTGCAGCGCTTCCTCATAGCTTAAGTGCTCACATTTTCTCTCGCAAAGATTCTGAAGGTGACAAAACTCTTTCTCAAGAATCTGCATAATTTCCAATCCTTGACGTGTTCTCTCTTCCTTTGTACGAATCCATGACGCTATTTCTTCCTCACTTGAGGGACCCACGAAGATCCAGGAAAGAACGCCGTCTGCACCAGAAGAAACATTAGTTTCGTTGGCAGGGCGTCCAGAACCTCCCATAGCTAAATAATCCGAAGCAGAGCCCATATTCTTTTCTTTGGTACACTCATTGTCAAGCAACTTTTCATCCAGAAGGAGATATGAACCTTCACCATCAAGAAGAATCTCCTCTGTTAGTTCACAACATTGGCCAACAACATTAACATTTTCATTGGACAAACTTTTTCCAGAATATCGACTCAATCCACAGGATTGTGACAGGTCCTGCAAGAATTTGAGGATTTTCCTGAGCTGGGGAGCACCCAAAAAGCAGATGCATATAGGTGACTGGTCCAAACCACGATTCAAGACCTGTGAACCAGAGGCTAGATTCTGGAGTTCATCCAAAGTAAATTGAATGACCTTGTTAAGATGGCTAGCAGCCAAATATTTGTGTCTAATAAGGAGCTCAAATGCTGCATGAACTTTTTCAAGGAGCTTTGCACGTTCAGGATCATTGGATAATGGCCACTTATCAGGAGGTGGAAATGAAAATGATACCTGATCCCTTTCAGATCCATTAACGCCAATGTTGGAGTTCTCATCACTACCAGTGTTGTCTCTGGTTCCAAAGTTGCAAGCGCTCCCAAGGTTTTCCTTCTCAGGTGAAGAATCCCATGCATCCCTGAAGCATTCACTGTCATCCATGTTATCTCCAGGGTTAAATTCATAAAGCTCAGAACTCCGGTGTTTTGGCTTATCACCAAGCATTTTAACTGCAGCTGATAGATCCAGTGGTTTCCATGAACAATTAAGAAGCATCTCAATCCACCCATTGTCAATGCTTTGAGGCAAAACTGCTTGCATCCTTGGCAATTCATTCCCCATGTGCTCTTGCACAACATGCTGCATATGAGACTCAGCATCCGTAAACTTCTCAGCGCACCTGTGGCAAACCCAGAACCTCCATGTTTTGTTAGACTCATAGAAGGACAAAGCTTCGGTAATAATCTCATTTGCCTGTCCATCCTTAGATGAACTAAAGTGAGCCTTAATATCACTAACCTTAACCCTAAGCAAAGCTTTCTTCATTTCATTACTCATGGAATTCCAATACGACCTAACCCAATCCTTCCTCTCAGCTGTGGAGCCCCTTTTCTTCGAATTCCCATGCTTTCTCCTCTCCCCGCCCCTCTGCCCAGCACCTGATGCCAAATCCGATCCTTTGTTGTTACCATTCCCATCATCCTGAGAGGGGGAAGACTCGGACTTCTGCTGCAGCAACCTAGCTGCAGCCACCCTCACTTCAATCTCCTTCCTCCTTTCTTCAGGAGTCTTAGCAGCTTTCTTAATCTCGTTTGGTCTTCGAATCTGAACCAACCTACTCTCCATCGGATCCTCAGCTATTCTCCTAATGGGAATTAACCGAAATTTCTCTTCCCCATTACTTAGGTTTTTCATCCAAGTGGACAATGAAGCTATATTAGATTTCTGTATAAGCGATCTGAGCTCCTCCTGCACATGTGCGATACGGGCCTCTGGTGTCGATATCTTCTGCTGACTCTCATCCTGAAGACTCTCTTTAGCAGGATCAATGGCATTCTCTATCGAAAGGGCACGTTGACACTCTTGCACGACCTCCTCATACTCTTTCCCATCATTGGCAGCCTCATAGAGCAGGTTCGCGTAGAAATGCCCAAACTCAATTGAGTTGGGCGAAAGTTCCACAGCTTTTCTAGCCGAATCAATGGCATTACGCAAAAACCTCTGTTTGCTCCTCCTGCACATGTGCGATACGGGCCTCTGGTGTCGATATCTTCTGCTGACTCTCATCCTGAAGACTCTCTTTAGCAGGATCAATGGCATTCTCTATCGAAAGGGCACGTTGACACTCTTGCACGACCTCCTCATCCTCTTTCCCATCACTGGCAGCTTCATAGAGCAGGTTCGCATAGAAATGCGCAAACTCAATTGAGTTGGGTGAGAGCTCCACAGCTTTTCTAGCAGAATCAATGGCATTACGCAAAAACCTCTGTTTTGTAGCTGGATCTTCGTAGACTGAAGCAACTTTCACGCACAAAGTACCCTGAACACGGTGGATTAGGGCGGAGTCTTGGTGGTGAGCGCATGATTCCTTCATGAGTCGAATCGCCTTGTTGTAGCTCCCTCGCCGGAATGACGTCAGCGCCTTCTCGCACTCGAGCTTGATCACCGAATAAGACGAAGCCTCCTTCGCGGAATCCGACGGTTCGATCTTCGCACCGCGCTGGGAACCTCGGCGGCTATTGCGGGCACCATCCGGTATCCCGGCCGGGTCCGACTCCTTCGCATCGGAAGAAGCCGTCGCCACCGCTTCCGCCGCCGCCTCCGCCGGTGTCGGCGATTGCTTGGGGCGAGACGCGGGGTTTTTCTTCTTATGACCCATCGGCAATTCAGCTCAGATACAATCCAATCGACATGAAAGAGACACAGATAAGGATAGACACACACACGACTGTAAATACGTCTCAGCAAAAGCGCTAAGACAGACTTACTCGTTGAAATGCAGGGTCAACCCGGAAACTGAGAAAGAAGGCGTCGCTCGAAGATCCCGGCGGCGTATCACGGCGGGGGATCGAATGGAGAAGTCGTTGCGCTGTGTGCGTGGAGTTCAACAGCGGAGGAGGAGAAAACCAACAGACCAAAAGAACCAAAAGAGGGATTATGAGAAGGGATTATAAATAATGATTTACGATTACGCCTCCTAGTTCTGAGTTATTTACAAATTTACCCAAATCTTTGGTACGCTCTCGTTTTGGCTTCTTTTTTTTTTCTTTTTTTTTTTTACACGTTTGGTTTAGGGATTAGAGAGTTGTAGTAGTAGTTAAAATTTATGACGGCTGTTAGAAATTGTCTAACCAAAGATTAGCAAGTTTTATTTACCTTTAGTATTTATCATATTTTCAGTTTTATGCATTTTTACTAAATCGGTTTCCCTTTTGATAGTGTATGAGGAAATTAAAAAATGTACCAATTATTTACACAAACTCGATTAGAATTGGATTATAATATATTGGAATGAAGTGTAAGATGATGACCATAAGAAAAGGCATTCTCCCACTGGGACCCTTTCAGTTTTCGGTTTCAAAAAAATTTCGGTCTTAATATATAAATATTACTCTACGTTAATATTAGATTCCATTTTTATTAATTTAAAATTCAGTTTTTATTGATAAAAATATTCGTATAAAAAATTATATTTTTAAATGAACTCTAATGCCAATCTTAGAGTACTTACACAACAATGCCAAGGCCCCAATGAACAAATACAAAGCTTGTGTTTCTGCATCTGGTTGAAAGAAACAAACACCAAACAACAAGCTCCTTCTTGTCTCTCACCTTTTGGTTAAATCAAAACCCGAAAATCAAGCAAAGGGGAAAAACCCGAGAAGAAGAAGAAGAAGCCACCTCGGATTTGATCCGATCCCTAGAAGAATCACTCCCTACCATATCAGAACCTAACTCTTTAAATTGCTATCTACATTCACCATCACACTCTTACGGCATGAAGGAGCTGAATCTCCACTGCTTTTGACACAACACTCAATGGAATTCCTTTCCCTAGAGTTCAAAGCTAAGTTATTGCTGCAACATTCGAGTCATGAGTCATGAAACCCCGCCAAGAACCCTCTTGAGCTCGGATTTCTGTTCTGGAGTGAGCCTTGATGGGTATCTCACACTGAACTTCACTCTCAAATTACCCTTTTTCCCGGGTTCTTTGGAGATGGGCATTCCTTCGTTTGGAACAACAATCTCGGAATCGGGCTTGACGATATCAGTAAGCGGGATCAGGAGATTCCTTCTGTCAAGCGTGATGAGCTCAAGGGTCTTACCGGTTAGGGCTTCAAGTAGCGTTATCTCCTGGTTGACTACGAGATCATTTCCGTCCCTCTTATAAACAGGATGGTGTTTCTCTCCCACCACGAATATGAGATCTGCAGGCATGATTCCAGGCTCCTGATTACCTTTTTCGGGAAAGGTGATCTTTGTGCCTTTCTTCCAACCAGGCTTTAATTCAATAGTCAAGATCTCCTCGACGCTTCTCACCTTACTGCAACATAATACATGAAGAAGCAGTGATATGAGAATGCAGATCCAAATAGTCTGGTCCTGAGATTGGAACAAGCTATAACATTCTAAGTATCTGGACGTGTTTGGACACAATCTATCCTACAAATTATATATTTCAAAAGCAAACGAGTATCACCCCATCTCTGTTTCATAGATCATAAGAAGCCCGGAAACAAAAAGAACAGGTTTTGCCTGAAATAACACCAGTACGTGTTCCTTAACTGGAACAGTAGGAGGAAAATTTGGTAACAAACACAAACTCATCTCTCTACTCAGTACACAGTCAGCCATCTAAACTTGCTCAGCCAGTATCTACTAACAGCGGACAAAAACAAGAATCACTAATATACTTTGTTTCCCAGTAAAATGGGCAGCCAAATTTGATAAAGAACAAAGGCATCTCATCAACAAACAACACGCTTGATTTGTTAAGAGGGAGACAAAAGGCATAAGGCCCTTCAATACATAAACAAGTTTGCTACCTTCTAACATCTACACAGTGCAGTATGGAATTTACAAATTTTGCAGTAAAAATGGCATCATTCATGATTTATTATGCTTTGCTTGGATGGATAACACTGTCTAGTTCATTCCTTCCAGAATATATCGCAAGCTAGCTATCGATTTGTTCTGTTCAAACTGAGATCGTTAGTCTGTATGACTCCTAAAACAAAATACCTTTTCTAACAAATCTCTCCCGCAACTGCAATTTCTAGTGTTCTATCTGAGAAAATGACAATGCCCCTGCAAAAGTTTCCAATGTCGAGTGGCAAGAAGATCTTCAAAGTAGAGTCTTCTCTGTCAATGTCTCTAAAGAATTTCCAGCTTCTAACTTCGAACCCAACACCAGATGTGAACAAGTTTATTCAGGTTCTAACACTACACTAACCATCCATCACATGCCCCCGAAAGTTTATATAATCTTGCTCGTGCTTATAAGTTCATGAATTTGAACCTCAAGCACAGAGTCACAGACTGAAAATAGGCACCATTTTCCAATAGATTTGATTACAGATTCCTCACCGTAATACTCAATCCTATTAATCTTGCCCTTTTGTTCTTCCAAATTTTCAATACAAGCATCTAAGCGAAAACTTATAGCTCCTGATTCTTCCTGTGTCTTCTTATGATTGTATAAGAGTTAGGGAAGAGAGAAAATTCAGAATTAAACATACCCAGAAGCATCATAGACATTTCTGGAGATCTTCATCTTCTTCTTAACACCCTTGTACAAATCCTCCAAGCTACAGAGTAATGGATTCTCAACGGCGGGGGCTTTCCTCATCTCCCCCCCGTAGCCGTTCGCGCCATAATGACCGCCGCCGAAGTGACCGTTCTTAAAATGCACATCCCTAAAAACCCTGTTTCCTCTCCCGCCTCCGCCTCCACCGCCGCCGCCGTCAGATCCAAAGAACTCGGCGTAGATATCATCCGCGTCCCTAGGGTTGAAACGAAACGATGACGGGCTCGGCGGATGCGGCCGATGCTGGTGGCGACCGTTGAAGTGCGGCGGCCCGCGCGACGAAGACGACGCTGCGGCGGATGAAGACGATGATGCCGTGGATGGCGGGAATTGGCCAGATTTGAGGCCCTCCTCGCCGTAGAGATCGTAGATCTGGCGCTTCTGAAGATCGGATAGGACATCGTAGGCCTCGGAGATCAGCTTGAACTTGGCCTCCGCCTCCGGCCGCCGCGTCGAAGGGTTTTTATCGGGATGCCAGATCATCGCTAGCCGCTTGTAGGCTTTCTTCAGATCCTCCTCTGTCGCGTTGTGGTTCACCTTCAGTATATTGTAGTAATCGACCCCCATCTCTGTCTTATCCTTACCTCTCTCCGTATGTATAGACGTAAGTATAGCTCGCCCTCGTAAAATTCCCGGCGGTTCACGGTCGCCGGAGAAATGGGGAGAGATGGAACAGGAAGCACGGGGAAGAGGGAGTGTGTGTATATATACACACATACGTGACGTGTTTTTATGAGTAATTTATTATTTATTATTGGTTGATTTAATCTATTTAGTTATTTTATTGAGGGAAAGTTGGGGTTTTGTGGAGGAAAATCACGTGGGTCCCATATAAGCGCTGAAAATCCTAACGAACCAGATTCTAAATAATCTCAAAAATATATTCATAGTAATAAAATTCTAAAATCATGATTATCAAATCCATAGTTTACTATTACAACTATTCTTCCATCGTTATATTGCCAATTTGCTTAATAACGGGATAATTAATTAGATCAGAATAAAATATAACTAAATCAAATCCAAATCCGAATAAAAAACAAATAATTATAATTTTTCCAAAACCAAAAAAAAAACTAAATCACAAAATATTTTTTTTTTAAAAATGAATAGTTTTTCCACAAAACCAAACCCCAATCAAAATAACACCTAGTCAAATAAAATTTAATATAATATAAAAATGGAATGGTTATATTATTTTTAAATGGGAATGACTAAATATGAATAAAAGAATTTGAACAGAAACCCGGAATGACCGGAATGGCGACACTCGAACACGTACCTACACAAACACGAATAGAACGATGGATTCTGAAACTCGAAACTCTGAAAAAACACAGTTTCGAGATCAACCTTGACCATGTCTAAGTCCCATGGGATTAAAATTGATTATACACCAAATTTCACAACAATTTGTTCGGATTTATTTTTTATTCCAATACCCAATAACTAAATTGATTTCATAACATTTTGTTCGGATCCTATGATCATTCTTTTTTTTTCACAAAATTTTGACGACCGTCGAAAATCCGTACCGTACCTATGAAGGGGTTTGCCGATCATTGCTACCTCTACGCGTCCACCGACCCGAACCAGCTTTGCCCAAACCCGAGTAATAATCCCCGACGTTTGCCACAAACAGAGGATCCCTCTCTTCGGTTTCGTCGCTTTTCAGATCGTCGTTCCCTTGCTCGGTCTGCTCGAGGTCTCGGGTCAGGTTTTCCATCGTCTTCTTTAAACTAGCCTTGCTCACCTGTCCTGCTTCTCCCGTTGAAATCCCGACCATGGTGATCTTCGGCAGAAATGGACTCGGCTGCGGGTCTCTCCCTCGAGTTTCGCTCTTCCTGTAAGGAAAAACGAAATAACAGGCACACTCTTAAACAAAATTTTAGCACCCCGAAACCAATCTCGGACAAGAATCCTAAGACTTGATGTCTGAAACACGGAAAAGGTACAAGATTTGATGGTTCAACCCTATCATAAATCCGAATGAAGCATAAATTATGTTCTGTACATACTGATTCTAGCTCTTCAGTTCAGCCGATATCTTGAATTTAGCGATTTGAACCTTAACCTAAGACGAAAAAAATACGAGAAAGCAGTGATTTGATCGAATTCACGTAGTAATGGGTACCTTAAATCCAATGATGCTGTCTGAATATGATCTTGTTTTGACCAGGGTTGACTAAGCCAGTCTCCGAATGGAAACCAGAGAGGATTCCGTCGCCTCTCAACGTTTTCCGTCGGATCTTTAACTTCCGTCTTCAACAGTGGCATCGAAGAATCTGCCTCCATTGCATCACCAAGGCATCTAGGCGAGTTTGATGCTCTCCGAAGGGAAGAAGCACTCCTGCAAAAAAGGATATAAGAAAAAGACAATAACATGATTGAGTAATCCATTGAAGTTCTTGGTAGGAATTCACAAAATCAATTAGATTTGCAGAGACTTTAAGCAAATTTTGGATTCATAAAATCACAAAGCTCCTTTCGCTATGATTGAAATTTTACAACAGAGCATCCAAGGCAAGTATTTAGCACGGATGAGTTTAGGGTTTCAACGTAGCATATATCGGTTGAAGGAGACGGTGAATCTGTCCGGTTTTAAGTTTAGTAATAAAAGATGGATGATGCTAGAGCTGGAAAAAAAAACCGAATTTCGGGTACCGGCTACTATATGAGACAGATCAGATTTGATCATGAGGAGAATTCGGTGTAACTGGGTCTGAGAAGTACTTACTACCTGCAGCTACGAATGAATACTAACCCAAAAATCTTAGATTCCAATTATATGCAAACCTATGGTTTTTAACTGAAATCTAAATTATAGATTCAAATTTCGTAACCCCAAAATCTCGGTACCCGAACCCAACCTGAGCCAACCCTAGTATATGGTACATATATTTCAAAAAGATCGAATTTTCATACTTGAATCTCGAGTACGAATACCCGTGGCACCCAAAAATTATCTTGGATACCCGAAAGTCGGGAACCCCACCAAAATAGATCCAAGATCAGGTAATATCTCTGAGACCCAGGACATTCAGATTTAGGTAACCGGAAAATATTGGGTACCCGACCCGTATCCACCCTTAGACGATGTAACACCGAATACCGTAAGAAACAGAACACACTAGGTATGAGCATATATACCTTCTTTCAAAGGAATCAACCAAATAAGGAAACTTGGGCTGAATGCCAGCAGCTTTCCGGAACCACCTATTCCCCAGAAGTATATTGTCAACGGCATGAAGGAGCTGAATCTCCACTGCTTTTGACACAACACTCAATGGAATTCCCGGATTGCCTATTTCTTCCAAAACTTCTTGAACCTGCAAAATAGTTTTATGCAGAGTAAGAAACTATCTCGATATTTACATGAACGCCGTCGTTGTCGTCATCATCATGGTCATGGTCATGGTCATGGTCATGGTCATGGCCATCATATCGTCATTATAAAAACATCATCTTTGATACCTCTGGCGGCTCCAACATGCTATCTCCCATCTCTTCAATAACCTCAGCTGTTAAGCTATCATCAACCACATCACGACGCCGTAGCATATGCCGGGTTTGAATCAATGAATGGAAATGTTGATCAACTGACTCTTCAAGAATGTTATCTAGAACAGCTTTATCGAAAAAGTATGGGGTGTACCTGGTAAAGAAAAAAAATATCAATACAGTTTAAACAACAGATAAAACGCTTAAAGCAAAATTTTGTACAATCGCCGATAAAATATAACATTAACAAGCCAGCTGGCTACAATTTTAAAAGGCAAACAATTTGAACCTGAGTATCATCAAAGGATAACTCAACTTTATGCCACCCAGTATTAAAATCTGACTGAAGAGCAAAGCAATGGATTTACAAACCATTATTCGTATCCCGGGAAGAAATCTCCCGTAAAGATCCTAGAAGTTTGTAAATGTTGGATAGCAGTTCTAGTCAAGCCTATTAAACCTGACAAGGTTTTGTCTGCAATGCTCTTCAATTCAAGTATAATGCAACAGTTCAAAGTGCTAATTGCCGAAATTTGCGACAAAATGCAAAAGAAATTGTATTACAGTTCCGTCCAGACAATAGCAGGCAGTAAAACTCACCACTTAATCCCATCAGCTGTTGCAACAGCAATATCCAAGTTCTGAGCACCAAAAACAGGAACACCGTCCACCTTCTGTGTTCTCCCATTTTGAGGAATTGACTTTAGAAGTTTATTTGCAGCCTTAACCTGCTAACAAGAAAGTATCATTCCGTTCATAAAAAGACAAAAGAAGAGGAAAATCATCAAAGAAATGCATGATCGAATATGCCTTTTACCTGTCGTTCATTGGGAACAAACTGAAACAAGTGAGGCTTCTCCTGTATCACAAAAGAAACAAAATTTTATAATAATTCAAAAGAAATGCATGACAAGATCCAATCTGAGAGTACCTTGAAATGCTCATATGCCAAATCAAGCCGACAAGCCCCAACCACTCCACTAGGAATATTTAGTTTTTTAACATATGAAACTGAGAAAAAAAAGTCACATCATGTAAGGAAAAAAACCAAAGTGAAAAATGGAAAACAGTAAAAATCACACAATAAGATGAACATAGGCCAAGACTGCACAGGAGGGGGAGGTCATGTCCCGTAGGATATAACACTGCCATCAAAGTTCTCATTCAATTGCATATTCAATTATTCAGCTCAATTCAGAACCAGCAGTTCTCCAAAAAAACACAGAAAATGCTTAAAACAGCAGAGATAGTTGTATTTAGACACCCACCTGCATCACCGAGATCGAGGAAGAAGCGGAATACAGGGCCGTTCCTCTCGCTTTTGGTGATAGTAGCAAACATTTTCTTTAGCCACTCAGGTGTTCTATTAATCAACAGAGAAAATAATAAACACGGGAATACAGCTGAAAAAACACAGAAAATCAAATGATGGCCTCAAACGACAGGCAAATCTGCATATCATATTACAGATCCTAGAATCCAAGATAACTATAAACCGCCACACAACAATTCCAAACAATTCACATCATAGTTAGTTGTGATTTGTCATATATTAGCATAAATCCAGGAACAAATCATCGTGACCGGGAAAAAAAAAAAGATAACACACCATGATGACAGCAAAAATCATGCCATACTTGCTATCAGCCAATACTAAAACCAGTGAATCTCACAAAAACCCAAGAAAGGCCGAACACACAAGAAGGTATACATCTAATTTGTTGTTTAAATTCTGTCACAAAGACTGCACCTTTATTCTTTTCCCCTCTTTGGATCATAATAGGTCAGCAATAGCATAAGCCTAAGAAAGAATACACGAAATAAGCGTTTGTCTATGTGCACTTAGAACTATAGGCGCTTTCAGATAGATGTTTCAACACGGGTATTAACGTTGAAGCCACTGATTCGTTCCAAGTAAGCCCTTAATCACAGATAAACCCTAGAATTTGATGAAATGAAATTGAAACATACTAAAGTACAGAAACAAAAAAGGGAGAATCTAGCACGCGGTAACTCAGACCCGAAGAAGGAAAATTTGGGATCGAAAAGAAGAACACGAAGAAGAAAATGACCTTTTGGAGATGAAGGGGATGTCGAAGTGGGTGGAAACCGCCATTAAACCAGTCCCAGTAAGGTCGCACATACTGAAGACCTGACCCACGAAGGCGGGTCCACCGCGCTTGCCGTCGGGACTGAGAGATGAAATCCTGACCGTCGAAGGAATCCCGGAGGAAGACGAGGAGGCGCTCTTGGCCGTCGATTCCGGCCGCGAGACCTCGTCGGACACTGAGAACCTCAAAGGGAGGAATACTCGGGACGGCGCCATTTTAGGACGTGGAAGAGGAACGAATGGTGAGACTGAGGTAACGGCGGCGTGGAGGAAATCTACGGCGGCGCTTCCACGGCGGTGTTGCTTCGCCGACGAATCCATCGCCAGATTGTTCAGCCGAGGCAGCTTGAATTGGTGTGCACGAGGCCGATGATTTTTTTTTTTCTTTGAGTGAAAAGCAAAGTATTTTTCTGGCCCATTTCCTATGGGCCTATTCTTGCACCAAAGCCCACAAAGGATTGTAATAGAACCGGTACGGTCCACAAACCGATCCTAAACCGGTCGCTAACCGGATACTATTGAATTGTTTATTGTCGCGTGAGACAAAAAGTGAGAAACCTCATACTGTTTGGAAAGTGCTTTTGATGTTCTACTTCAAGAGAACAACTCTTTGAAGTCCATTTTTAGATTTTCTCATTTATGGTAATATGATTTCGATAAAATTTTAACATATTAATATCCCGTACTTATTGGATAGATTATCAGAATATATATATACACACACACGATTCAATTTGTTTGAACATGAAACGTATTTTATCTTTTGATAAATTCAAGAAGGGATATTATTTTTTTAAGAAAAAGTTAATTTTTCTAAAAAAACAGAAAAGGTATTTCTACAAATATATTTGACAAAAGGAAATACTGTCAAAATACATGAATTATCACAAAAATATCAGAAAAAAAAATATTATATGCATATTTTACCTTTAGTCAAACATGGATGACACTTTTTGCAAGGAGAAACCAGAAATAGACTATTGAACTACACTCCTCCCTTCAGTTTGGTTGTTGGCTTAAGCAAAGGTTGTAATAATATTTCCGACAGAAGATTCAAAGTGGGGTGTGATTTAAAAAAAAAAAAAAAAAAAAAGCCAAATCTTTAAAGATCTAAAGCTCCTGGGGAAAAAAAATACAGAATTAACCAAAACAACATTAAACCCCAATATACGTTACACTCAAACATCAATTTTTATTTTTACCTTACACATATTGGTTATAGATTCCATAAAGAAAAGACTTGCACAAAAAAAAAAAAAAAAGAGAGGAGACTTGACAAGGCAAAAAAGAGCCAAACCTATTATGCTTCCATTTCTCTCTATGGCCCTTGCATTGAGAGAGAGAGAGAGAGAGAGAGAGAGAGAGAGAGAGAGAGAGAGAGAGAGAGAAGAAGACCAAAAATAAGTCTAGCTTACAGAACATGAAACTCAATTCAGACAGAGTTCTTGTCTGTGTCCCTATTGGTCTCATAGTTCTGTTCTTCACTGCCCTTGTACCTATACCACTTGGCCATTACCAAGAAGTATGCAAAATCTACTGCTAAGATCCCTGCGATCATGTAGTAGAAGTAATCTAATCTTCCCTTGTTCAGATCTTCAGCCAACCAGTTCCCCGTCGATGTGTTCACTGTCGTTTTATGGACCGTCGATATCAAGAAACTACTTAGATAACTCGAGATTCCCGTCCCGACGTAGAAGATAGAACCCGCGAAGCTTCTCATGTTCTCGGGGAATTGCTTGTAGTAAAACTCCATCTGGCCAATGGCTGTGAAGGCCTCGGCTATGCCCGCGAGTGTGAGTTGCGGGATCAACCATAAGCCAGAGAAGGAGGAGATTTCACCCTTTCGGGGAGCCATCCCGAGTGTAGGTTTTGTCAGAGCAATTGTTCTCCTCCGTTCTTCTATGAACCCCGAGACCACCATGCTCAATACCGCAAAGGCCATTCCAATTCCCATCCTCTGTAAGATTGTTATACCGGTGTCCTTACCCGTGAACCTTCTGAGGAAAGGCACGAGGAGGCGGTCGTAAATTATGATGAAAACCGTCATTCCCGTCATCAAGAACACGACATAGGTAGCTGCAGGGATCTCGAAGCTCCCAGAACCTAGCCGTCGGTCGCTCTGAAGAGCCTGGAAGACGGGATACGTCATCTGTTGGGTTATGGCGAGGTAGTAAATCGCGGCTGCAAACCAGATCGGGAGCACTCTCACAATGCATTTCACTTCTTCAACTTGCTGCATGGTACAGAGTTTCCATGGGTCTGCTGGTGATCCATCAGGGTTTAACTTGTCCTCGGGGGTCAAAATCGCTGCTTTGTCGAGAAATCTGCCAAAATTTGCAGTTGATTCTCAGGAAACGAGTGGGAAACATAATCGCAGATCAAGATAACATCGATCTTCCAAAAAAATCTTCAAAGAAAAACAAGAATAACGAATACAAAACTTACGTGAACTGGCCGGTGTATCCAAGCCTCGAGTTTGCATATTTTGGTGGAATGTAGTTGTAGAGATTAAGCCATGGCTGCTTCACCGGTTTCAGCCCTCGCTTCTTGATAGCTATCGCTATAACTTGAGCTATACCGGCCAAAGGACTACCGGAGGCTTTCACTTTCACGTACATTTTATCACCCGCGAAGAAAATCAGGCAGGCCAAGAACATGAGAACAGCCGGTATGGCTAAACCAATTGTCCAACTGACATTGGACTGTATATACACAATCAGAGTCAATGACACGATCTGGGCGAAGGTGAAGGTGAAGAAGTACCAATTGAAGAAACTATCAATCCCTCTTTTCCCGGATTCGGTTTTCGGGTTAAACTGATCAGCCCCAAAGGCTAAGTTGCACGGTCTGATACCACCCGCTCCTACTACGAGAAATCCTAAACCCATTAGCAGAAAGGCGATCTGCCCGGCATTTGGACCGTGACATTCGCTTCCCTGCTTCGTTCCACAAGGAGCTGGATGTAGTTGCGGGATTGCAGCGGTCAGTTGTATAACGAGTGATCCCTTCAAGGAAGAAAAGGACAGATTAAACAACTTTCCATAGACTGTATACTTGTGGTAGAATGAAAAAACATAACTGAACTTTCTCGACACCCTTCACCTAAAAACGTGTTTATAACTTTATAAACTCCCAATTCAACTTCCTATAGGTGACTTGCATCTTTATATTCAATCCATGAATGTGAAACAGACAAAATCCTTCAATCTTTTTGTCCAAAAGGTGTTTAGATAGCTTCAAACGAGTTAACTTCCTGTTGATACTTCTAAAAGCACAATCTCATAACAAGTCAGAATTTCTTCAACAGGGGGGAAAGAATCATTACCAGAAAACAAGCGATGACGGCAACTGTAAGTGTCTTGTAGCGGCCAAAGTATGTGTCACAGAGAAAAGCGGCGATGAAAGTTCCAAAGTTGATGGTGCCACTGAAGGCATTGATGATCGTCGCAGCTGTAATGCTCTTCAAGTTGAAGACAGAAGTAAGGTACACCAGAAGGTTCGACAATGTCCCTATGATCCCGAGCTTCTCGAAAGTTTCATTCCCTGAGCCAAGAACAGAGGAAAAAGACACCAAATTTTACTATCTGAATCCAAAAACGATGCAAGATATATCATGATTCATCATAAGAACCAAAATGGGTACCCATAAAGATTGAATCTTTACATCTGATTAACTCAGAAACCGAACATACAATCCATGGAATCAACTTGGTGGTTTTGTTTGATTCACAGAAAAGCTGTTCCACTACCCATCTGTTCATTCCTAGTAAACTATCTCTGTCGTCAGCAAGGAAAGTTCATGATTTTCAGACACAAGGCTCAGAACTAGGCAACAACTTGAGAGCATATCTTGAAGCCAGCTAACAAGTGAAGTAAACGCGGGATTTGCGGGCCACTAAATACTAAACTTCTTAAAGTCGATGATTAGAAGAATCTTTTAGGATAGGTTCACGGATCTGAACCGCAAACCGAATAAGAACGGTTCAGTTCGTTCGGTTATTTGCTTAGTAACCGAACGGTTGAGGAAGTTGAATAACCCTTCGGGTTCGGTTCGTTTCGTTTAATAACCGAATAACTGCGGTTAACCGAACGGTTATTGAGTTTTTTAATATTTTAATTTTTACCCTCATTATTATTAGTATTATTTTTTTATACTCCACTTTTAACCTTATATATTTCTCCCAATAAACCATAAAATGTAATGTTTTTAACTTTTATCCTAATTATTGAAGTTTTTAGATTTTTTTAATAATTTTATTACATGATTAATCATTTTGTTCATTTATTTGAATAGATATTTTAAAGTTTTTGTAGGATTAATAAAAAAAATTTCAAAATATATCAACCGAACCGATCTAAAACCGAACCGAATAAATCGGAAAATATAACCATTTGGTTATAATTTTATTATGCAAAAACCAAATCGAACCGAACCAAACCGAAACTGAACTGAAACGAACCGATTAAATATATATAACCGTTTGGGTATGATTTTTTTATAACCGAAATAACCGAATCCAAAATAACCGAACGGAAACCCGAAATGGCCACCCCTATACAGAAAATCCGAAAATATATGAAAGATTTGCAAAGTGAATAATTAGGGTTGTTTTGTCAAACCCTAAAAAAGGAGAGAGATGAAAAGACGTAGGAGGTTAATTCTGCCGGCTTCACCGGCCAGATACAGTGTGAAGGCGTATCGCGTATAGTAATAGCAGTGTGAATATCGCAATCAATGTGATTAGGGTTCCTAATTAAATATAATTAAGAAAAAGAATAATAATAATAATAATAAATAATAAATAATATATATTACGTGTGAAAATGAAACGAAGGGTCCACGTTAGTTCACATTGGTTGGTCTGTGGCGTTAGGCGTATCCGTGGACTTATTGTGTAATCCAAATAAAATGTCGACGAATTTGACTCCACTCTTTGACTTGTTGCTCCGAAACTCTATTAGAATATAGTTACTATTGGCAATTATTCACAATTATTGAGATCTTCTACCCAAATTTGGTTAGTCTAGTGGTGAGAAAACATGCAAAACATGCTCTCATCCTGGGTTCTCAGAACAAGAGCATTCGACATCTTAAAATTTGAAAACCATGGATCATCCACAGAAATGATTCGATAATATTGCAGACAGATGACAGGGAGAGATAATTTTGATCTGGGTTTCAACAAAAGCTCGAATCTTGATCAAATCGGTATCCGTTTTTCTGCTTCGAGATCGCTCTCGTGAGTTGGGCTCTCAGAACAAGGGAAATGAAAAGAGGAGGAAGAAAAACCCAAACCCTTAAACCATTGTTTACTCAGACAGTGAACGGAAAAACACAGAGAAAAGTGAAGACGTTTTTGCTTTCGTTTAACACCTTTTCCGTCAAAATAAAATAAAATTCATAGGCACTAGAAAAAAGAGAAAAAAGGAAAATGAAAATGACCCAAAAAAGAAATAAGAACTCATACCAATAATAAAGGGCATGACTTTCCAGCCTCTGTAAATAACCTTCGTCTCCACCGCTTCCTCCTCCGCCGCCGCAGAGCCGCCGTCTCCGGCGAAGGGTCTGTGATTATTCTCGACCTCGAGGGCTTTTCTCTCCATTTTATCAGATTCTCTCTCGGCGTGAACACACCAGTTGTTTTCTCGGTGGATGATGACTCTGCTCTTCATCTGCAGCAGCTGTCTCTTATTTATATTGTGGGGGAGAGAGAGAGAGAGAGGGGAAAGATGTCGGAATCCGAACAAGGCAATGTGAAATTGTGTATTTTGCCGTGAAAGGGACCTCTGTGAACGCCGTTAAAAAAAATGGATTTATTAAAGAAAAAAATTGGTGACTTAATTGCAAATTAAATGCATTTTTTTAGCTCCTGGACCCATCCTTCTTAATAACGGCACAGAAGATTATTATTTTCTGTCGGCCCATTTTAACTCATTTATTTGCATTATCTATTTTATTGTATTCATTTCATTTCAATGATAATAAATGAGATACATTTGTTAAATTTAAAAATCAGATATACTTTTACCAACAAAAAAATTTTAATTTATTTTGACTAGAGAGCGAGCGATACTTGATGAATCCAAGGACGTTCGTGAACCTATGGATGGAGAAAAAAAAAACTCAACTCGAAAAGCCCATCTAATATATAAAATAATTATTAAATACTTTAAAGAATTTCACTCGTTGGAATCTTTAACTCTAAACCACTATATTTAATATTTAATTAACAGTTTTAAAGATATTTTTCACAATCACTTTCTGATTATTGGATTTTTTTCCATATGGTTTTGAATCTCAAAAAGATATTTCGTAACTACTTTCTTTCCGTCAAATTTGACTTTTTTAAATTCTAACCATCTCCATTAAAATATATATATAAAAAAATCATGTGATTAATATCTATTATGGAAAAACAAATTTTAGTAAAAAAAAATTACGAGTGCAAAAATTAATGGAACCATTAATTTGTCATCACTTTTGTATATGGCATGAAGTGTGTGTTCACGGCCAAAAGGTAATATTTGTTGGTATCGTGCTGATTTTAGCAATTAGATAGAGATGCACTTCTCCGCCTTAAACATGACAAACAGACGAAACAATAAAAATCGCATTTACTTTTCTATTTTTTTATATAAAAAAATATAAAGTGTAATTATCCGTTTTTTATATAAATTTAAATTCAGTTTCTGTTTTATTAAAAACCACCTTCAAGTTAATTTTTTTTTCCATTATTTCGTATTAAATTTGGTTTGTATTCGATCAGCTCAATTTTTAAAAACTATATCCAATTGGTTTTAAAATTACATCCGTTTTATATATACCGGATATTTTTCATATGAATTGTATTTTTAATCAGATTCATCTAAAAAAGACTCAATGCATTTGTTTTTTATATACAGAAATCTAGGGGTGACTATTTCGGTTATTAACCGAATAACCGAACCGAACCGCGAACCGAATAAGAGCGGTCGTTCGGTTCGTTCGGTTATTTGCTTAATAACCGAATGGTTGAGGAAGTTGAATAACCTTTCGGATTCGATTCGGTTCGGTTAATAACCGAATAACCGCGGTTAACCGAACGGTTATTTAGTTTTTTAATATTTTAATTTTTACCCCATTTATTATTAGTATTATTTTTTTATACTCCACTTTTAACCTTATATATTTCTCCCAATAAACCATAAAATGTAATGTTTTTAACTTTTATCCTAATTATTGAAGTTTTTAGATTTTTTTAATAATTTTATTACATGATTAATCATTTTGTTCATTTATTTGAATAGATATTTTGAAGTTTTTGTAGGATTAATAAATTTTTTTTCAAAATATATCATAACCGAACCGAACCGATCTAAAATCGAATCGAATAAATCAGAAAATATAACCATTTGGTTATAATTTTATTATGCAAAAACCGAATCGAACCAAACCGAAAATGAACTGAAACGAACCGATTAAATATATATAACCGTTTGGGTATGATTTTTTTATAACCGAAATAACCGAATCCAAAATAACTGAATGGAAACCCGAAATGATCACCCCTATACAGAAAATCCGAAAATATATGAAAGATTTGCAAAGTGAATAATTAGGGTTGTTTTGTCAAACCCTAAAAAAGGAGAGAGATGAAAAGACGTAGGAGGTTAATTCTGCCGGCTTCACCGGCCAGATACAGTGTGAAGGCGTATCGCGTATAGTAATAGCAGTGTGAATATCGCAATCAATGTAATTAGGGTTCCTAATTAAATATAATTAAGAAAAAGAATAATAATAAATAATAAATAATAAATAATATATATTACGTGTGAAAATGAAACGAAGGGTCCACGTTAGTTCACATTGGTTGGTCTGTGGCGTTAGGCGTATCCGTGGACTTATTGTGTAATCCAAATAAAATGTCGACGAATTTGACTCCACTCTTTGACTTGTTGCTCCGAAACTCTATTAGAATATAGTTACTATTGGCAATTATTCACAATTATTGAGATCTTCTACCCAAATTTGGTTAGTCTAGTGGTGAGAAAACATGCAAAACATGCTCTTATCCTGGGTTCAAATCCAAGCGTGGGGAAGAGCTTTCACCTGCCCTAACCCTGTACATCTGAGAGATGTAATCGGGTCAAAGGTCCGGTGAACTTTCAGATTATAAAAAAAATATATTGAAATCTTTTATATTCTAAATAATGGCTTTTTCTCAAATTGACTCGATTATTGATAATTAAAAAAATTATTTTTTTATGATGTTAGTTTTTTATCTTGAAATTTTATTAGTTTATATTGAAAAAATATAATATTATATGGAGTGTTTTAATAAAAAACTGAAATGAAGGATAACGTGGAGAGGAGAATAATATATTAGATACGACCAACATTTCATAGCTGTCCACGCACATACAGCCACGTAATCCATCCGTGGTACGTTCAATTATTGTAACTAATGTGTGATAATGAAAATAATAATAATAAGAAGAAGAAGAACATTATTAAAATTAAGGGTATTGGTAAAAAATAGATTCTTTACTCGTATAATTTGTGATATGTATTGCCCTTCTTAATCATATTTTATATCATATGAAAATACTAAAATACGTCAAATGTTATGTGAACGTCCAAAAATGTTTCATTTTATCAATTGATTTACGGAAATATATACTCGTGTTATTTTGTTTTATTCTGAACAAGATAAGATACCTTTTTTATAATTATGATAAATAAATATATATATATATATACACGTATATGTAACGCATCGTATCGTATATGAGCCATGTATTCCGTTCAGAGCCCAAACGCAATTATCCTCCTGAGTAGGTCGTTGACTGCGAAAGCCACCGATAACGCATACACACACACACACACACACACACACACACACATATATATATATATATAATTAGTTTAGACCAATACAAACGATGATTTATTTATTTTTTTCAAAAAATCGATAATTTAATTTGGTTTCGTTTAAACTATATAGTTTGTATAAATATTGACATACTTTATTTATTCGACAACCAAAAACATCTAAAATGGTTCAGATCGACAACCAAGAACACTAATTTTTTTAAAAATAATATTACGTAATTCTATAACAATCAGAATTCAAAATGAAGAATTCCTATGTATTTATCGAAGTGGGAGAATATACGAATTAACGTAACTCCTAGGCACAGAGAACATTTTATTTTATTATATTGTTTGAATGAAAGTGCGATGCTTATTCCAGTCACAACGCCAATAATTAGATTCGAAAAGCTTTACAAGTTATAACTTTATGAAAAAACTAATATTATTTAAAAAAATATCTATAGCTCTTTTTTCCTTTACATATGAATTAGACTAAATTAATCATTTGATTAATTTTGAAAAAACAAATAGTAGTTGTTATAACTTGATTTAATTAACCAGAATAGTTTTATTAATATTAGTATCTATATTATTATTTTAATAGTGTTTTTTTACCATTTTTCATCTAGATAGTGTAGTATAAACCTGTATTTGAAATTTAAAATTTCAGTTTAATATAATTTTATAAATTTTCTTTTTTAATACACTAAATACGTAAAAGTTATTTTCTTCAAGCAAAGTTTGAACTCAGACGATATCGATATCTTTTCCCTTTTTACCTATGAAATTAATTTATTCTATTGGGATGGTTTAATAAAGATATAATTTAAAAAATAAATAAATAGGTCCCAACCCAACGGGACCTTACCGACCCACGAGAGTGCCAAGCCATATCTAACCATTCAAAGGTTATTATTATTCCTTAGGATCGGTCCAATTATTTTGTTATCAATATTTATTATTTACATTTTCCCCAAAATTCCAAATATCTTTTTTTTTTAAAGAAAAACTACTGATTCTTTTCATAATTTGGTTTTGTATAACTTTCAATGGGTCTCGTGTTTTGGTCCAATTATGGTTTTCGATTTATCGTAATATTTTATAATCCGAAAATTCACCGAATTGTCGATCTAACTATATCTCCCACAAGATCGGAGAATCTCTACAGAAGGAGATTTGTTTTATCTCTTACCAGTTGAAGCCACCCGAATGGTTTATTGTAATTTTGATGATTTCAAAGTTCATTTTAAATCACGATATAGAATAAAAGTACAATTCACATATATATATATATATATATATATATATGATGTATAAAATAAGAACAAGAGAGAAAATAAAATTGCAAGTACGCGGGATAACCATCTCTCATCTTCACATGACAAAGAGCATATTGTAGAAGTCATATCCAAATTGGACATGCTACGTTTATTCTCAATTTATTTATTTATTTATTTATTTAAACGTACATAATAGATTAATAGCAAAGATCACTACAAAAAAGAATTTTATTCACAATGAGCTCGACAACTACTTGCAAACTTCATGCTCGTAGATACGACAACTTTATATATTTGCTATAAAAATCGCCTAAATATCACTCAAATTATCCAAGTAATTACATTTATTTTTGTCTATATCAACTAGGGACGAATATATATTTCGCTTTTCCGATTCAATTTCGGATCAATTATTTTTATATTCAGACATCGAAAAATTATATTGATTTTTTATACACTGTTTAATTCGATTTGTTTTATATTCAAATGTGTTTTTCTATTTAAAAAATTATACCTATTTAATTTTTGTAACGAACTCCG